TATACGACCAAAGAACTGCTTATCGGCCCGTAGATCTGGAAATCTGGCTAATAGAGAAAAAAAAGTCTTACGACGAGCAGAACGCGTAAGTCACTGCCGGTTGAGTTCGAATACGATGCAAGGGCTGAATGATTTTTTATTACGCCTGTACTGGTGCTTTCTGTGCTGTGGCACAAAAACACTCCACGAAGTATTTCAGCACATCACGCTTGGGCCTGCCACGCACGAACAGTCTAGGAAAGGTGTACTCGCAACATTTTACTGCATGCAAACCATACATTTCGCGTTAAGTTTACGCCGGGACTATAAGTCTGCGCAGAAGCGAAGCAGCGCTGAGAGCACGCTGCGGAGCGTTTGCTGGTTCGTTTGCCCCATAAATTTGACGTCACTTCCGTCAAACTTCTAGCAATGCATCAGGATACGATAGGGCCTCTCCTCAGTTTTTCCTTCCTCCATGTTTCGCAGCCGCAGCGCTTATGGCGCCCCCTGTATTTAAAAAACTTGTAATATATTTGTTAAATTGACAAATTTAAGCTGATTGACTGGTCATACACCTGCTTAGTAAAATTTTTGTCGGTTTAATGTAATATGCATTAATAATTTATACATTTGAATACCTTTATGTAATAATTTTTAAAGGGACACTAAAGTCAACTATTAAGTCGACATTTATTGTTGAAATGGCGGTCCGGAAACTTCCTAGTGTTACTGTTGTGCCAAGGAAGGGCCTATTTTGAAATAAAATCACATTTTAGGGGTCCGCATCGAGTTAGCGCACTTCAAGTTACCCGCCTCAAGAAGCGGACCGACCGGTCTGTCTCACGTCACTGTTGCCGTGCACAACGTTGCCCGGCATTACTGCGCTTGTAGCAGCAGACCGAAAGCAGCAAGAGCCACAGCAGCAAAAACGGCCATTGATCGATTTTTCTTTATTGGCTCCGAGATCGCGGACGCTTTTATTTCAACAGCACCCCGCTAGAGGGCACCGTGTAACCATGCGAAAATTGAATTTTTGAACCACTCGCGCAATTCGTCATAGTAACGTCCGGCGGTTCTTTTTTCCATGAATCAAACAGAAACGAACAAGCAGTATTTTATTGCGTCTCTCGATGCACAAAAAGTTCTTTATTTAGTGCAGTTAGAGTGATTACTAGTGATCAATTGTAGGCGGTCCGTCTGATGTCATCGGGATCACTTTGAAAATGTCCTACTGCGGCGCTTGTGTTCTTGTGCGTTTACCCTAATTTCTCGGTAAGTAGTGCACTGTTGTTGAAACTGTTGTCTTTTTAGGTGTTGTCATACACTGGGCTTTCACTCTGACATAAATTATTTGACTTTAGTGTGCCTTTAAAGTGACGTCACTTTCGTGCGGCGCAGGAGCCACTGCTGTGTGGGGCTGGCTGCTGCGCAGAGCGGCGCAGGAGACGAAAACCACATGGTGGTTTAAATCATAGAGTTTCTCACAATCATATTGTCTAAAACTCTATGGTTTAAACAACCAAAATGGAAGGCAGTGCTTCGCTACTGTCATCAGCAATGGGCAACCTACGGATTTTCTTGCGTGTCAAACATGTTTGCGTGACGGTTGAGTTGGATTGCTCACCTCTAGTCACTAGTGTGCTTTAAATTATTTATCTGCTCATGATCAGTGCCATGTGCAGTCTTACCGTTTGTAGAAAAGTTCGTTGATATTTATTTTGTTTTTATCACTGTGCGTTTTTGTGTGCGTGTGTTTGCGTTGTCTACTTTGTGCGCGCGCGCATGTGACTACCGCTCGAGCGACGCCGGGATGGCTTCCCCTCCATCTCCTGCAGTTTCAACCGCCCCCAACTCCAGCAGGGAAGAGGGCGATGTACGAAGCAAAGGTGAAACTATTGAACACGTTGCAAGCAGGAGCATCTCGAAAAGAAGTGATGAAAAAGTTCAATGTGAAGAAAATCATGCCGAGCACTTACGTGAAGAACGAAGAGCAAATTATGCAAGCGTATGACGGGGACATCTTTTGCGACCAAAGGGAGAGGCTTTGAACGGCAGCGCATCCCTAACTAGAAGAAGTGCTGTTGCACTGGATTGCCGTTTCGTGCAATGTGCGTTTGCCTTTGAGCGGCCCCCTTATCTGCGCACAAGCAGAGAAGTTTGCGTGACCATGAACATTGACTCCTTCAATGCCTCGAAAGGCTGGTTCGACCGCTTCAAGAAGCGACACGGGCTGGTGTTCGGCAATGTGTGTGGTCACAGAACACCTTATATATACTACTTTTTCACCACTAAAGAGAGGTGCGGTTGACAAAAGTGTTTTGCAGGACTGGCGGTCTGGACTATCCGCGCGCCTTTCTACGTACGAACCGTGCAACATTTTCAACGCTGATGAGACAGCGCTGTTCTATAAGGCTCTGCCTGACAAGACGTGCAGATGTTCTATTATAATGATCACTATGAGTCAAGTTTCGAGCTCCGAACACAAGAGGAGCGCACCCTTGTCTGCCATGTGATTTGGGCTTTATAAAATTTGAAATAGGAGGCAAGGATAGTATCTTTGACTTTCACATGTAAAGTGTTGTTTGGTTGCACCAAGTCATGTACATTCAGCCTCTGCATTTTCTCATTTTTGATAAGTCAACTATGAAACACCACCCCGACAGCACTTCATCAACCTAGTCAAAAGAATCTCTTTCATGTTGCTGTCGCACAAGAATATGATTAGAAACCCTCTCCAACTTTTTTTTTCTGCCGTTCCGTTTCGTAGTATTAGAAAGATATTTGAGAAATATTCTATTCGATTTGCACCTCAGTATTCGCACCCAAAATTTTGCTATTTGCATAGCTCCACCGTAAACTTTCTAAAGGCATCCCATACTGCCACACTACACCTGACCTAGCCACCTGTTTTTCTTCCTTTATACCTCAAAGAATGAATCTGTGTGCATTGCTAGAGAAATCATGGGGACACTCCCAAAAAAAAAAAAAATATTCGACAGTGTGCGGGCATGAAAATGCACCCTTCTCCTCTAGGCATTGTTGTCTGGAGCACTCGGGCAGTTGCAAAGTTTGAGCAAGTTCGTGCAACTCTCTGTTGGCACTCATTGGCTGCCTTAGTGTGCAACACAACTAGGCACAGCAATGATGGAAAGAAAGGAAGTATTGCTGACCTATTTAAAAGCTTATTTTTTAAAAATACAGGCTACATCCTGGTGCCTCTAATTATAAATAAAAGGCTGTCCTCTACTTTTTATAAAAATACAAAGGAATACTTTGCTGCTGTGGTTATGAACATACAGTTAAAAGACGTAACTTACGCGTCTCACACGACACGTGAAAAGTGTTCCAGGTAGTGTTTCGCATATTTTTGCTCATGGCTCGTAAATAACAAGATGTGCCAATAATATTTGCATTCACATCCTTGCTTTATGGGCCTACTGGCACGTTGCAATGCCAACTCGTTGCAGGAAGATGGCTCAGAGTCACCGTTTGAATGCTTGCAAAACCAGCTCAGGGTAACAAACGATAGTGCACCCCCACAGTTGAATGTAACCTATATACCGGAGCAGCAATTCTACAGCAAAAACTGTATATGGCTAGAAAAAACGACAATCTATCGGGCAAACAGTGTCATAAGTGCACTCCATTGACTGCCTTATCAGTTATGTCACAGCTGTGGTGCCTAGCCCGTGTACAACAGTTTCTCCTGAAACCTCCTTGCCGAGTTGGCTCGCACTGTCAGATGCTTGCAGCAACAACGCGGCATGAATGTGATGATTGCGGTAGTTCCTCCAGTAGCAAATTGGCTTCGGCTGCGACCGGCTGTTGTTCGAAAGAACCACTGTGATCAACACATTTAACTGCTCATTGCAGTCCTCCATGACCATATGACACACAATGTGCGGCATGTGAAATAAACACTGTGGTAAACCTGAGCGAAAGGTGTGTATAATCTCATTAAGAAGCCCGAACTTGTAACCAGTAATTGCGAAATGCTTCAGTGCTTGTCGGGTTGAACCCACTGCTATACAGAGGGGCCGCACGTTGCAACTTTTGCTGGCTGACCAGTATGGAGTGCTTGGGCGGTGACTTTTTTCAGTTTCATTTGAAAAAAGCCTCAAGCTTGAAGCATCCTTTAGCATTACATGGTACGCTGGGGCAGGTGTAGGTCTTTTCTGAAAGGGGATTAGCTTATAGGCAAACCCGAGATTTTCTTGCGCTTCCATTAAAAAAAAAATTATTGCGGCCTGGCTTTGGGGACATGCAGGCTGCCCTTTCGAATTCTGCAGTGATAGCAAATTAAACCTTTCAAAAATATGCATAGCGAAGCAATATGCACACAAAGTATCCGAATGAATGGTACCTCCACATGTGACAACAAACTACCAGCAACACGCTCCCAAACAATCGAGCCCTTGAATTTATTGGGTGCATGGGCTACCCTGCGAGGGGTTACCACAGTAATGACATCAACACCAGTGCAGGCATGTGCAAGTAGCCATGATCGCATATGCATTGCTGGTTCGTGCCTGCAAGCACATGGCAGCGAAAACTTTTTTTTTTTTTCGGTGTAGATGAGTGCTCATGCTGGCACATCTTGTAAGAACGGTAAACCTTAACACTTCACGAGTCGTAAACAGTATAGCTGGAGCAAAGAAGCGTGCTGCTGCTTCTTGTCAGCCATGAGGTAATATAACATCAAAGTTAGTTTCCGACGACCCCCCCCCCTTTTTTTTTCAGCATCGGAATTCTCTAAATCTATGCAACACAGCCCTCAGAAATGTGTCAGAACTGCTGTCCCTATCAGCTGCCTCACATTGATATGTACACTCCATGACATGCAGAGAGCACTTTTAAAAAACCCCAGGTGGTCGAAAATTTCAGTCCTTCACTGTTTGTCTCTCATAATCATATCGAGGTTTTGGGACGCTAAACCCAAACAGTTATTATTATGCAAAGAGTGCTTAGCCGTCAACATGGCAGTAATGCACACAGTGACTGCTAGATGGCAGCAGGTCTTGCATAAGTTCTATTTTATTCAACCTCTAGAAGTCAACAAATTTGAATAGGCAATTTTTGCAATTTAATGTGATGCCCCAAACAGCACTTTCAGAATTGCTAGGTTGTACACAGCTAGCGAGATTTTTTTAACCAAGAGCAACTCTTGGAAGCTTTTTTTTAACGACCAGTACATATGCGAGAAACATCAAGACGAGAGTACAAAGGATGGTATGACCATGTAGCACATCTGTCCACTTGCTGTATCTGCCGTCACTATCTTAGGTGACTGCCTGCTTTTTCTAGAAACTTATGTTACTTCTGCATTGCATGAATCTACAATTTTTTTAGATGGTTATATTTGCACAACCTAAGAAGTCAGTGCGACAGGCTGAATCATTGCTGTTCCTCAGTTCTCTGGAAAGCAGCTAAAGAAGGACTGGCTGCAAGCTTTCCTATTCTGTGTGCTTCCAAAAGGAAAAGTGCCATTCTGCACATGCACAAGTTGTCCAGAGACCTTAAGCCAAGCATCACTCATATTAAAAATAGCTCTGCAACCCTCACTTGAGCACCCACTTAATCCCGCTCTATGAGAAAGCACGGCTAGGCTAGAGGGTCATGTCACACTTCCCTGTAGTCCAACCATGGTGCGATTTTTTTTTCGGTGGGACAAAACAGACTTGATTGATAACTCTGAGAACCCTGTCACCAGTTTCACTATCGTAAATTTATTATTAGAAGAGAGAATTAAGGTTCAACTTGCATTTTAAAATTTCACGTCAAGATCTCCACGCAAGACGCCACTAGCTTCTACATGTATTTTTCACGACCTACACTCGATGAGACTTTCTGAAACTTCGTATGTCAAGTATATGGCACATACTTATTATGATTATGTACTTCATTTAGAAACTATGCAGGACTCAGTAGAGACTGTCACGTGTCAGCAATCTCAAGGTGGCATCTCCACCTGCATTTTCTTACTTACCAAGCGTTGTCTCGCAGTAAGAGTAGTGTTTTCTTGACTGAATAACTGAAAAATGTTTTTTCTCTTTACGACCTTAGCTGCGATATGACGACCTTAGCCAAAGTCATGCGTCCTAACAGTGACGCTCTTCGGGCTGTCAAACTACTCATTAATTTGCTCGTGCAAATAGAATGGTCTGAGCAACGTCACGCTTCACTCATCGTGGAGAATATGGTTCAAAATTCAAAGCTCTATTGTCGCCTGTCATTTTGATGTTTGCATGCCTTTTCCCGAGTATGTGTGTACAAGACGGATTGCACGATTAGTCCATTTCTTAGCAAAGCACTGCAGCTCAGTCGTGGAAATTGGAATGACAAAGACAGCACGACAACAATGGGTTGGGAAGTGTAATGTGGAGTGTGCCTTATTTTACTGCGTGCAACTGAGCCTTATGACATGACAATATGCTTCCAATTAGATGCACACTGGAGTACTGTTGTTTGTAAGAAAGCATTTCTCGCTTTATTAAAGCGGACGAACATTTTGTCATTACTAGTTTCACCGAAAAATTTCCCTCAGCTGCATCATCACAGACGGCTCAATCTGGCTTGCTTGTCGAGTTTCCAAATACCTAAACTGTTGCACCTACTGTGTTGATAATCGGTTCTTGTGCCACGGGGGTGTTCCTCAACGAGAAGTATTTGCTTTGGTTAAGAACCTGCACAACCACAGTAAAACACCGAGCGAGCACAGACACGCTGTGCCGGGGGGCACTGTATCGACACACGGTGTCGTCGTCCGAGCGACGCAGCTAAGTGAACAGGTAGGGCAGCCGACGGGGCTTCAGGCGTCCCTGGCCGTGGGCGACGCGGAGGTGCGTGCGCAGGTCAGCCGGGCCAGCTGAACGTTTTGAGGCAGAGCGTGCACTGGTGTTTGTGCCGGTAGGGCCGGTGCATGAGCATATGCCGCTTCAAGTTGCCCTTGGTGGAGAACACGCGCGAGCACACACTGCACACGGGCGGGTTGTCGTCCCCGGTGTCCGGTGGCACCGCGGGAGGGGGCAGCACGGGCTGCTGGTGCACGGCCGGCACCCAGTTGGTTTTGTCGTCCGAGTATGAATGGTCGAACGTTCGTCGGCTTGCCGGCGCCGGCGGCTTGGCCGCCGAGCGCGCCTTCGGCGCCGTTGGCTCGGGACTGTCTGGTCCCTCGGCGCTCACCGGACTCGGTTCGTCGTGTCGCGGCGGCGGTGTCCGTTGTTTGCGCTTAGGCAGCCGGCCGGCCCTGACGCCGCCGCTGCATGCCGCCGGCTGCTGTGTTCCCCCTCCCGCCGCGTCGTCCGAGCCCGCGGGGTTCTCGCCGGCCACCTCGGCCAGGCCGCGCACTTGGAAAAGCTCGGCGGTGCGCAGCAGCGCGGGCAGCTGCTCTTGCGCGACGTTCACCTCGCCGCGGTACATGAACTCGAGCAGCGTGCGCAGGTCGGCCTCGCGCGTCTGACTCATGATGACCACCGGGTGCGCGCATGGGTTGCGCTCGAACAGCGCCTCGAAGAAAGGGCTGCACGCTGCGAGAACCAGCTTGTGCGCCTTCATGCTCACGCCTTCCTCGCACACCAGCGTGACGTCGACGAAGGCGTCGCGGCTGCGCAGCTCTTCGTACACGGACACCAGGCTGCCATGGTGCTGGTTCCACTTGAGGCAGAACTGCTGCGCCGTCAGGCCACCCATCGTGCGCTCTCCTTCGCCGACACTCGCAGCTGACGGAGGAAGGAACTCTCCGTGCTCGCACCTACTGTTTCTTGCCCTCGTAGTACCTCCTATAGTGCCAGTGCCACCTCTATAACTTTCAGTGCCTGGTGGATGGGGAGGAGAACAAAAGGCGTGACCGTCGGCGCGAGTACAACCGTTCACCGCCAGGCGCCGCCACCCAAACAGGGTTTCGCGGTCTTTCGCCGCTTTCGCTCGCTGCCCGCGCATCAATTGCGCAGGTGTGGCTGCTAGTTTTGTGTCGCGATTTTTTCGACTTCAGGGTTTCTTGAGATGCTGACAATGATCGGTAGAAGCAAGGCCTACTCGATCGCTAAGCTCTTGAGCTCGCTCGCAACAAACACAAAACAGGGCTGCTGCTGTTTTGTTCTAGATCAACATCTATGTGCCCAACAAAGCAATCTCTTTGCTTGTGGTACTGTAACTTTTCTTTTATCTTCATTTCGTCAACGATGAGAGAGCAGACCCTTGACTGAGGCTTGTCCAAGTCTTTAGCTTCTGTAGCTAACCTGGTTTCAACCAGTTTGCCGAAGCCTGTCTCACCGCTGGTAGTGCCAATGTAATTCGTCAGGGTTGTTCGACTTGGAAGTTTTAGAAGCGTTTCACGTCGCATGTGCTCGTATGCTTTTGTTGACAAATGTCGAAGGACCACGCACCGACGAGTTGTCTCTTCAGACCAGGTTGGCCTTTTTTTCTTAAAATTTGTGATTTGGTCTAGCAAAAACAATGCTGCAGGCTGTTGCTCTGTGGCTTTTTGTCTGATATACGGGATATCTGACACCAAAGAATCTTCTTGCAGCTTTCTTCGCTCCAATTTGTACTTTTCGGCAGTCCGTTGCAACCTAAGTGCTTGGTTCCTCAGGTCCTTTTCTTTTCCATTTGGCTTTTTCTGTGGTCAGCAAACTTGACACTTGCCTGCTGTCAACCTGAATACCTCGGTCACATGCACGAGGCTTGAGTGCACCTTCCTTATCATGCGTAACATCATTGCGCTGATCAGTTTGGCTGACACTATCGTCCATGGGCTCTGGTTCCTCCCATTCAGGTTCTGGTGGTGTGGCTGCGGCAGGTGGCAACAGCCCAGTACCGCCGCTTGTCGCATGATTACTCCCCACCCTCAACGGAGAACAAGCTCGCATTTCAATGCTTGCTGTGCTTCGTTCAGCGCTTCCTTTTGGCTGCAAGTGTTTGGGGTAATCTTCAAAAACTGAAGGCACTGCACCTTTCTTCAACCGTCGTCTCTTTCCTTCAAGAAAGTCTTCGACGCGAAAATGACGGCTAAATATCTTCGTGTAACAGGACGTTGCATTTGGCAACCAGCCGTCCTCGCCAAATAGCGGCCAACCACTTCTCTCGTACGTCGGCGGCACCAGGAACTTCATGTAAAAATAGTCCAGGCATTTTTTTTTTTTTTTCATCCGACTTGCGCAGCGGCACGCAGCAGTATGACATCACAAATCATGCAAGGTACGTGGTCACGACAAAAAAAAAAAAAAAAAAAAAAAAACTTCCATCGCATTCAACTCGCCAAATCCAACCGCACGTGTCAAGGCACAACAAAGCAAACAAGCGCTCTAGGCCTGCGCCCGCACCAGCACTACCGGCAGAGCACCCGGATAGATGGATATGGCCCTTTAGATCGGGCGATGGCTAGCGCCACCAAGCCGTAATACTTAATGAACCAAAAACTATATTTTTTTTTCCTTAAAAAGTGAGTTTGAGGATTCGTACTGTGCAGTGAAGAGTTTAATTTTCACCCGTGCCTTGACTTTAGCCACCAATCACATAACCTCCTTCTAGTTAAGTCTACCCGCTTAAAGTCTATTTTGCCCTCCCAGTCCCTAAGCCCCAGTGCTTTAAAAAACTCTGTGCCATCATCCTGAACTATAGGGTGAAGTCCTTTACAAAACATTATCAAGTGTTCGGCAGTTTCTTCTTCCTCTCCACACGCACTGCATGCTGTGTCTACCCCTTCGTATTTGGCCCGATATGTCTTGGTTCGCAGTACTCCCGTTCTGGCCTCAAACAGTAGAGAACTACCCCGAGTATTATCATAGATCCTTTCCTTGGCAATTTCCTGCTTAAACGTTCGATAGATCTCTAGTGCGGACTTCTTTATCATGCCCATTCTCCACATGTCAGTCTCCGTTTCCTTCACTTTCTTCTTAACCGATAGTTCTTTTTGGCTTGGCCACCTGCTGTTTTCTAAGTATTTACCAGTCAACTTCCTGGTTCGCTTCCTCCATTTTGTATCGACATTCTTCATGTACAAGTAGTTGAAAACCTTCCTAGCCCAACGCTCTTCCCCCATTTCTCTCAATCGCTTCTCAAATTTTATCTTGCTGCTAGCTTCCCTGCCCTCAAATGATGTCCATCCCATATCACCTTGTACTCCCTGATTTGGTATATTCCCGTGAGCTCCTAAAGCAAGCCTACCTATTCCACGTTGCTTAATTTCTAATCTTGCTTAAACTTCTGATCTCATGCACAAGACCGCATTGCCGAACGTCAGCCCAGGAACCATGACCCCTTTCCACATTCCTCTCACAACATCATACCTATTGTAATTCCACAGTGCCCTATTTTTGATCACTGCTGCATTCCTGTTACCTTTAGTCGAGTATTTCGTGTTCCCTCAGGTACTCGGTCCCATTGCTTATCTATACGCCCAGATATTTGTATTTATCTGTTATCTCTAGCGTGACCTCCTGTATTCTAAGCTCACTACCTTCGTTGTCATTGAAAATCATGACTGCTGATTTTTCCTTACTGAATCTAAAATCTAACCTATCTCCCTCATTACCACTGATGTCCATCAATCTCTGCAAATCTTCCTTGTTGTTGGCCATTAGCACTATATCATCTGCGTACATTAATGCTGGTAGTGCCTGATCAATAAGTTTTCCTTGTTTGACTAAAGAGAGGTTGAAGCCCAGTCCACTTCCCTCTAATTTTGCCTCTAATCCTTGTAGGTACATCATGAATAATAAGGGTGACAGGGGGCACCCCTGCCTAAGCCCCAGTTTTACCTCTGCAGGCTTGGATACCTGTTTTTCCCACTTTATAACTACCTTGTTACCTTTAAAACCCTTTAAAAGATTAATGACTACATGTTCCACGCCTAGTGTGTCCAGTATTCCCCACAATTCCTCTTGAACCAAGCTCTCGTACGCTCCTTTGATATCCAAAAATGCTAGCCACAGGGGCCTGTGTTTCTTTTATGCTATTTCGATGCACTGCGTCAGTGAGAACAGATTGTCTTCCAACCTCCTGGGTTTCCAAAACCCATTCTGCAGTTCCCCCAGCACCCCCTCATCCTCTATCCATGCCTGTAGTCCTTCCTTTATAATCTGCATCGCCAGCCTGTAGACCACTGATGTCACTGTTATAGGACGGTAGTTGTTTATGCCAGCTTTGTCCCCTTTTCCTTTATAGATCATGCTCATCCTGCTAAGTTTCCATCCATCGGGTACTTCACCATTTCCTCGTTATTAGCTATCCTGCACCCCGAAGGGCTCGCTTGCCCCCTCAAAAAAGCTACTGCGCGTCCTGCAAGTCGCCAACCCACCTCATGACCTAGCCGCCCATCGAAGTGTCTCGTTGAAAACCACTCTACCTTCACCTCTCTGTTTGTTTCCACCTCCTCAAAGCCTTTCTCTCGACTCATCCGTCATATCTCTTGGTTTGCGTTGACAACCGCTTTTTGCAGGTTGCTATCACGCACCGGTACCTCCGGTATCGTGCATATCACTACCTGTACCTTAGGAGAAGTGGTGCGCATGTCATCGACGCCTTTCGCCAGTGTGGCTGCTAGTCCTGCTGTATCTTCATTTAGGACATCGTTTAAACCGCCTGAAATTATCACGAGGTTTCGTGTATCAGCTGTAGTTTTGAGTTTTGCGCTCGCTTGCCTCATGACTGCTTTAAGCTTGCGTCCTGAGAACGCCCCTACTGCAACCCTCTTGTCACCTCTTACCCTCTCTTTGATGGCTTCTCTGCATCGATTTAAATTCGAGTCCCCGGCAATTATCACATGCTGTGACTTTTCAGCTGGAGCGTCCTACACCTGGGGGCTACTTGCACCTGTGACGCCGGCTGCTTTGTCCCCTCCCAGCCCCACCACTACCTCGCTGAAGCCGGGCCTTGGGACAGTTGAACCGGCTAAACCTGTTTTTTCCAAACTTGCTTGCTCTTCCTTCTCCACCGTTCTGGTTGCCGCTTCCCTACTGTTCTCTCCGTAGGCCGCTTCTTTGTTCAGCTTCGCTAGTGCTTCCTCGGCGGACTTCAGTCTTTCTCCCATTGCACTCGTTTTCTCTTGTTCTGTCGCCAACGCAGTCTCGAGCTCGGCGATTTTTATCAGCAGTGGACTCTGGGCAACCATCATTCTCTCTATTTTTTCCTCGACCTCACATTGCCTACACTTCGCGTCAGCCTCTTCTCCATCCGCTTCTACGCTTGGGTCCACTTTCAAACCCACTCCACATCCTGAACACTTTACAGTCTTTTTAACCATGTCTTTCTGACACCAATTGTCCCTATACTCGATAATTACTAAACTCGAGCCCTGCACTGCGAAGAAAAAAGTCTAAGCTCTACTACAAAAATTTGCGTGTTCAATGTACGTGCACCTCCCCCACGGGGTGGCAAAAGAAAAAAACAACAAAAAAATTCAAACACACACGCCCACACTAACTAATAAATACCTGGTGACTGGCCCCCGAAAAAGCCGTACCATAAAATAAGTGCTACGAAGATTTCAACCGCTGCTTTATAATTATAAGGACAAGCTCAAAACATGCAAAAACACTTATCTGCGCAGTCGATCCGGAGCGCTCAAAAAACACGTCCATCCACCTTGACCAACTGACCTTGCACGACCTTGCACGACCTTGCATCTTGCACGACCAGCCACAAGTCTTGCAAACGTGTCCACCAGAAGTGGATAAGGCAACAAGTGCCACCTCACAAATTTCTGGTGAAGTGCACAAACTCAAGAGTGATCTAGAGTGCAGCGCCTCCTCTATTTTTAGCTGTGCAGTGTACTAGAATGAGACGATGCTTTCTTTTTTCACAGAA